TTCGGCTTTGACGTCCGCAGTCAGACAACCTTCTTGCGTCCGCAAGCTCTGATAGCAAAGATCCCTCACCCCGCAACCAATGACTGCCATACCTGCCTAATTTCCAAAGTACCCCGCCCAGAAAATCGGATCAACATAGCTGTAGAAGACGTCGTGCCGCGTTCTCCAGCTACAAGGTTCTTCGCATCAAATAGGTTTGTTTTAGGGTTGAGTTTGTTTCTCGTTTTTGGTCGACAAGAGGCCGTAACAATGCTTTCTGCAGCTTAGCCCCTACACCATCGATCCAATAACCCGATCAGGCCCTCTCAGCCCTGGCCTGAAGCTCCCTTAGCGAGGCCGCACGTTCGGCACTTCAAGATCGAGAGGAAGTGATGCCGCTCGGGCCGGATCTCCTTCTTTACTTCTCTCCTTCCTATGGGGAGGAGGCTTTAAGGTCTGAGGGATGCTCGGTTTCGGTAGCTCACACCCTGAACCCTCGATCCTTGCCGTGCAAGGAGCCCCAGTGAGACGGCGCGGTATGCGCGGAACAGCGCCTACGTCAGGCACCGGATCGTTGCGCAGGCTTACACCTCACCCCCCTCCGAATTCAGCTGTTTAAGAAGTCTTTGGCGTGCGAGGTTTAGAGCTTCAAGGCCTTTATCAAAGCCAGAGGCGTCAGCAAGCGTGCACCTCGACCCCGAACGGCCCAAAAACTCGCCCGAACGGCCCAAAAACTCGCTGCACTCCGGGGTCTTCTACTCGAGTCAGCCATGGTGGCCGAAACTAAGCCGATCTCCCGTGCCGCCTGCAGTTCAAACTTCAAAAGCGCTTCAAGCCCTGAAATGCCTGGGCCCTGAAAGCTGCTGAGCCTAAAGGAGCCCCAGAACACCGAAGCAGGCTTTTCCTGGTCTGCATCTGCTTCGCTGAGTGCCTGGCAGGGAATGCGAGCTTCTTCTGGGGCTCCCTTTGGGGCTTTATGTTTTGGTGTTCCGGGTACTCGTTTCAAGGCACCTGTTGCCTGCTGCACAGCAACTGCACCTTGGAGAGCTTAGGAGTCTCAGGAGTTTCTGTGCAGAAGATGCCATGACTAAACCCGGCCCAGCAGTCCTCCAGCTCTACGAAAGCTCGGCCTAAACCCTTGCAGAAACAGACCCCCTTTTCCCTAATACTCTGCGCGGGGAAGCGGGTTCGGAGCTTTCAGGTCAAACTAAAGGAGGTTTTTGGTTTCGAGGATCTTTGGGGAGCTTCCAACCCCCGGCCCTAGAACCCAGGATTGTCATCCTGGTTCCGAACATTCTCACGGAAGTGGCCATTGACCGAGGTGCTTGAAAAATGGAGAGACGCACAGACACACTCAGAGACGCATGTGACTCGAAACACTATACTCTAAACCCAATAAGAGCACTGGCGGCTTCTTTGCCTGTGTCGGTCTTGTGGCTCAGAGGATTCTCGCGCTAAGGGTTTCCGGTCCCCCCAAAACCCAACACCTCAACGTCCTCAGCCCACTGAAAGAGCCTGAAGCCAACAACGGTACGACGGTGTTTACGCTTTGGGCATGTCCACGAAACGGCTGCAGGCATTTACGCGCCAGTGCTGCGCGCCGTTCTTTCGGTGGTGAGGTGGAAGCCTCTGCCAGGGTTCGCCGTTCGCGGCTGGGAAGTCTTCTTGGATGGGGTTTGAGTTTAGGATGGGGTGGGGGGTCTTATGCTGGGTACGTTTTGGGGTTTTGTGAGGTTAAGCACGCGCAAGGAATTCAATGTTCAGAAGGCAAAATTCCCGCGAGCCGAAGCTTGTGGCACAGCAGCTGGTGTGGGATCGGGGCTTGCGGTTGAGGTTGGAAAGTGGGGGGGGGGATGTTGCCACAAGCAGGCGGCATTCTGTTAGGAGCATGACGCAGCGTGCAGCGTGTAACTACATGCCCGTCCGAGCTCAAGAGGAAAGCGCTTCCAACAGCATCCTCCGCACGCCCGAAGGTGAACCCTCAACACCACCAACCATCCAAACAAACCCAACCCTTGTTAAGACTTTTCGAAATTCCGGGGAGGCTGAGCCCCCTCCTCTGGCCACTCCTGGGCAAGATGGGCAGGCGATTGTTCTGGCATGGGGGAGGGCGCAAGGGGAACGCGGAGTTAGGGGTTCAGGCATCGAATGGCTTGTGTTTGGGAGTGTCACAAGAGTCTCAGAGGGGGGTCGTTCTTTTTGAATCGTTGGAGCCTCGAGTTTCCCCCCCAAGGCCAAGTTGAGAGGGCTACTTTTTTTTTCACACCAGCAACACGGTGCAATGGCTGCCGCTGCAATTGAGGGGCGCTGAGGCCCTACCTTCAGCAGCATCCCGAACCTTCAAGTCGGCAACAGAAGCCTAACGAATCTTTAGGGTTCAGGGTTGAGGGTTCAGGGTTTAGGGTCCTCTTGGCCTTCTGAGCCCTCTGAGCCCTCTGAGCTGCTAAAGGTGGGGTGCCGCACTGCGACAGCTGGTCGAGGCGAGAAGTCTGGACGGTGTACTGCGGCGGGCTGGGAGGAGTTGCAGGGGATTTGGCCCACCGCCCTGACCTTTCCAGGTGGCGCTGCCCACGATCTACGGGCCGGCCTGTGGGGGTGCCAGCGGGCCCAGAGCGGGGGTTTCGGGTGTTTGTTTGGGGGGGGGGGGGGCCAAATAATGTAAGGTCTGAGATCAGGAGTTTTGTGGGATCTCAGAAGTTATCGGACTTTAGAGTTGGCGTTGGCGGTGCTTTTTCGGAAGTCTAATGAAGCTCAGGCATCCCCATCTTCCCCAGAAGACCTAAAGCCCGAGCCCCCTCACCCTCCAGTTTGCCTTCGAGGTGGAGCCTTGTCGAGGCTTTGCTACTGCGCTGAGTGGCTGGCATCAGGGCAGAATTCTGTGGAGCGCGGGATAGCAGAATCTTTCATTGAGGATGCAGGGCTTTAGGGTTGTAGGCTGCAGAAAAGCCTGCCTATTCGGACAAAACTTCCCCGATCAATGAACACTATCACACGCAGCGCACAGATGAGGTACTTGATCAGCACTCCCATGCACGACGCTTTCTCGTCCGCAGCTGAGCCTGGCATGGGTGCGCAGAGTAGTCACCGCAACCACCACCACCACCACCACCACCACCACCACCACCACCACCACCACCACCACCACCACCACCACCACCACCACCACCACCACCACCACCACCACCACCACCACCACCACCACCACCACCACCACCACCACCACCACCACCGCCGCTACGGGTGGCTGCGACTGCGACTACGACTACACAAGCTGAGAAAATGCCTTGCGCATCTGCTGCCGTGCTGTCACTGCCCTGCCCGAGGCCCACCACCGAAGCGGATTTGGCCCCTGCCGGCAGAGTTTAACGTATGTTGGGGCGTTGAGGGTAGATCGCCGCACAACTTTTGGCTCCCGCCCAAGCCCTCGACTTTAAGTCGAACAACATCTATCACCCTAAGCCCTAAGAGTTTGAGGTTAAGAATATATAAGCACTTGGGCTTCAGGTACCTAAGATCAGTGGAAGCTGCTCCTGCGGAATGGCCCCCGGTGGATGATCTGATGCACACGAGGTCCCAGTCCAGGGCAGAGGCCACTCACTGTGAGCCGACTCATCGAAATGCAAAACCTGGGTGAACACGGAGTCACGGTGCAAAGGCCCGCATGGCCTGGCGTCAAACCCCCAACCCTCCCTCCCAAATAACCGAGACAGCACAGGCTTAGGTCTTACTTTGCCCTTCAGAAATATAGGGGGGGGCTGTCGCTCAAAGTGCCGACGTGGCCCCAATGTGCTGTCGGCGCATAACTTGCCAGGCTGAGCGAAAGCCGCCGGGCCAGGTGCTTCGCAGCTTGAGGGCTTGTTGACGGGAAGCCTTAGAATGATTCTGAAATAAGGGGCTCTCGGGGACAGGTTCCCGGTTCTTCTTTCATGGCCTTTAGTCGGCTTGCAAGCTTGTTCAAGAGGCCACGGGAATCACCAGACTCAAACAAGGGGGCAAGAACGGCATCTTCACCACAGGGGGCTGGCGACTGGGACTCAGAACCTCAAACCGCAAGCTCTTGAATCCCCAAACCCAGCAGCACCATGCCCTGAACGGGATGTTTCGCATTTTCCTTGCTAGTGTCGAGGACAGGGTCAACCTCAAGACCCGAAACGCCGAGTTTGCAGGATCCGCCCTTCGACGAGGATCTGCTGCTGCCGTGCGTGGGGGCTCCACAGGGCATTCGCACTTCCAGCACCTGTTTCCTCCAAAACCACCTACAGATAAAGGGCCAAACAGGATCAAACACCTCATCTGCAATATTCGACTTCAAACGCGCTTCCTCCTTCGTGCAAATTCCTGTCGATGTAAACCATGTTAACAGTTCTGTCTATATTGTTTGGGGTCTAGGTTCGTTCAAGCTGAACTAGAAACCTTCAAAGTTCAAGGTTGGATATTCTATCCTCGTTATTGCCATGATTGTTTTGTCAATTATCGCTCATATGACTCTTGTTTTTCATTTTGAAGAGGCTCAGGGTCTGAGGCCCCAGAGGCCCTGAGATACAAGGCGGTCATCATGTCTGCCAACGTGGGCCTCTTCCTTTGCGACGCGCTGTCCCTCACGGTGCCACGGATGCATCTGGCACTTAGAGGTTTCCTTAAAATTAGCAGGTTATCACCCGTCGTCATGAGGTACAGCCTCCAAAATAGCAGGTAAGCGGGCTCGGGTAAACCCTTAACACCGTCTACCAACCTTGAACCCTAATCCCAATAGCTTAATCCCTAGCCTTGAGATCGCCTCTGCTGCAGCCTCACGGCTCAAGCTCCCTCAGAAAATGACCATGAATTAACGGGGGGCGTGCTCTACAAATCAGTAGGTGTCCACTCCTCGAATCCGCGAGCCCGCTCAAGAGCCCCGTCCATCTCTATGGCCTGATCCCTCCGCCCCATGCCCGCTTCGTCTCCAACCCTCAACACCTTCGCAGAACCCTGAAATCGGGCACGCCTCGTCCCCTTTTTTAGCCGGCAGATGAGGGCTGAGGATGCTTCGCGTGCACAAGGCATCTGGCGAGCTGCTCCTGGCACTGTCGGAGGATTCAGTACACTGAGCCCTATCAACCCTGAACCTAGAGCCTGCACAACCGCAAGCCCAAAACGTCCTGTAAGCCCTGACGCCTAAGCAGTTTCACACCTGCCTCCTGACACCTACATCTGACCTGTTGTTTAGAGCCTCAGTTTTTAAAGTGAGACCTGAATGCCTGAAGTAGCCCTCAACACTGAAAGCGAACAGAGCCCCGCTTCCCAGACGTTGAGGAGGCTTGCCGGGAGCTCCATGTCGGGCCGGACCCAGCCGTCCGCGAGCTGACTGCTGGCCATAGCAGAAGGGTCCCGAAGGTGTGGGGAGGGTCGTAGGGCTTAGGGGTTCCAGGATTCCAGGTTATGGTGTTCAAGGTTCAGGGGCCAGCTCAGCCTGGCGCTGTAGGATTTAGGGGTTTAGGGGTTTTGGGGTTTGTAGGGCTTTGTGGTCAACATAGTTTATGGTTTGGGGTTGGAAGTTCAGGTCCGCCAGGTTTTGGGTTTGTGAGGTTCAGGGCTTGGGGGTTGAACGACAATCGGCTTTATGGTTTACTTCCGTCAGCTCCGAGAATTATTTGACGCTGGCTGACTTGCTTGAGATGTAATGCCTGCCAAGTGGGGATTCTGGCAACCGCCGGAGAGCGAGAGAGAGAGAGAGAGAGAGAGACAGAGAGAGAGACAGAGAGAGAGAGAGAGAGAGAGAGAGAGAGACAGACGGGCGGGGGCTAAGTGCGAAGGAAGGAAGGAAGACAGAGAGAGAGCGAGAGAGAGAGAGTGGGTGGATGAACAGCTGCATTAGCATACTCTTGCTTTAGGCTGGTTCGTGTTTCTGTCCTGTCGTTTGTTGTTTGGGTGGCCTAGTAACAATCATCCTCGCTGGATCCTTGGAGACTTACTTTTCCGTCAATGTTGTGTTCGAGGGATCGCATGATGCTTTCGGGAGAGGAGAACAGAACCACAGCAAAAATCAGCCAACCAGCTACTGAAAACAAAAGCCGCCGGCGAAAAGCGTGGGAACTGCGTCACAGACAGCACCTGGAACTCGCGCGCTTCGGGCCGGCTCCCCTTCCAGGGGGGGGGGGCTGGGAGGCAAGCGTGGCCATGCGTGCAGAGAGAGAGAGAGAGAGAGAGAGAGAGAGAGAGAGAGAGAGAGATTTTGAGAGAAATGACCCTGAGAAGCCGAGGAAGCGTCGCCTGCAAGGGCTGTGTGGACAGCCTCGCTTTCGGCAGAGGCTACTGCAGGGGACAGTGGCGCTGGAGGAGGACGCCGGCCCCTTTCCAAAACACTTTTAGTTGGCGAGTCCAGTCTTGCGAGGGCGCGTGAATGAGGAATCTTGGATCCCAAGGTTCCGATTGGCAGGAGCGATAACTTACTCAATAACTTGTGCTCCGTTTGACACTGTGAGGATGCCGGGCTGACCGCGCCTGCAGATTTACAGCTGGTACTCCTGCCCTTCTCCCCGGCCTCCGCAGCCGAGCTGGCCGCGCTCAAGACAGCCGCGGAAGCTGACGATGTGGACGCATTGGAAGAGTTGCTTCAGCTGGCTAAGGACGTAAATCTCAAGGTCGACCGCCAGGGAAGGGCAGCCCTCCACCTCGCAGCTTCCTCGGGAAGCCTTAGAGCTGCGCGCCTCTTGCTGGAGGCCTCTGCCACGGTGGATGCGGCCAACTACACTGGATCTGCTCCTCTGCTTGATGCAGCGCGCGCAGGCCACGTGGAAGTGGCCCGGGCATTGCTAGAGGCGCGAGCAGACAAGGACAGGGCGAACAAAGGCTTGAACACGCCGCTCTCCGCGGCAGCTTTGGGCACGTCCGGCACAGCGGCTGACATGACCCGCTTGCTTTTGGAGGCGCGAGCCGACTTGCGGCGTGCCTGCGCCGGGGGGCAAGGACCTTCGCAGCAAAAGCTGGCAAGCCATTTCAGGGGACAGTTCTTTTTCGAAGTCTAAGCAAGGAGTTTTAAGGGGACGTCCTGGAGGTATTACCATTGCAGCCGCGGAAGCTTTGCTTTCCCAGGTTTAGGGGTTGCACCGCAGCAGCTTTTTGCGGCAATGTCAATTCGCCATCCTTCCCCATCCTTCCCCCATCCAAAACACGAACCTTAAAGGTCTACACCTGTAGTGTATTCGGAGCCATTTGAATTTTGCGGGGTTTAAGCACCTGAGGCCCCCTGCACGTCGCTTGCTCACATCCCAGTGGCCTGGACGTCGTGCGCGTGTTTCTCCAGGCGCGGGTGGACATCGACAGGGTCGACAGCTCGGGGAGAACTGCGCTCTGCGTGGCCGCTCCGTGGATGCTTTTCTTAGAATGAGGTTTTCAAACTACCTGAATAAAAAGAAAAAGAAGCCCTTTGGGCCTTGTTTTGTGTGTTTGTGTTTTTTTGGTCTTGGGGTTTCCTGTTGAAATGCAGAGGAAATAGAGCTTCTCCTACTAAATATAGGAAATAATAAAGGCTGTCTATCAAATATAGAGTAAATAGAGACGAAACTATACACAAAAAGAATTTTCCCCAAATATGTTTTCCTAGTCAAACATCGGCGGGAGACAGTGGTTCAGAGAGAAAGAACGACAGGGAGGTATCCTGGCGCTTTCAGACAAGTTAGGACGGGTACAGCGCTGCAGGCTTCTATCGTGGGGAATTCTTTCAACAACAACAGCAGCAACAACAGCAACAGCGACGACGACGACGACGACGGCGGCGGCGGCGACGACGACGACGACGACGACGACGACCACAACGACGACGACGACAACGACAACGACAACGACAACGACAACGACCACGACCACGACCACGACGACGACGACGACGACGACGACGACGACGACGACCACGACGACGACCACGACCACGACCACGACCACGACCACGACCACAACCACAACAACCACACCAACACCAACACCAACACCAACACCAACACCAACACCAACACCAACACCAACACCAACACCAACACCAACACCAACACCAACACCAACACCAACCAACACCAACACCACACACACACACACCAACACCAACACCAACACCAACACCAACACCAACACCAACACCACACACACACACACACACCAACACCACACACACACACACACACACACACACACCAACACCACACACACACCACCAACACACACCCACCACCACCAACACACACACAACACACACACAACACCACCACCAACACCAACACCAACACCAACACCAACACCAACACCACCAACAACACCAACAACACCACCAACACCACCAACACCACCAACACAAACAACAACAACAAACAACAACAACAACAACAACAACAACAACAACAACAACAACAACAACAACAACCACAACCACAACCACAACCAACAACCACAAACAACAACAACAACCAACAACAACAACAACAACAACAACAACAACAACAACAACAACAACAACAACAACAACAACAACAACAACAACAACAACAACACCAACACCAACAACAACAACAACAACAACAACAACAACAACAACAACAACAACAACAACAA